CACTTTCTCCGATGTCCATGCTGTAAGTCTAGCTTTGTTGATTATAGTGAATACAGGTATTTTTTTATCTATAAGATTATTGAAAGAAAGATCTTTAAGCTAACCCAAACGCCACCCATTGACAATTCAAAACAACAAATTTAGCGAGCCATTTCTCCAGTTTCTTCTGATGTGCCATTACTTCAGAGAGTACACAGAGAATGCTGCAGATCCTCGAGTCAAAAAAAGAACAAAGCCACAGTATATTCAGCATTAACCACATCAAATGAAGCAAATACAACTTAACAGTATCAGACATAATTACCACTAATTATGGACTTACATACAGATTTCATAATATTGCTTTAAATTAAAATAAGAAAATATAATTCAATTGCTTCTTAAATAATAGGCCCTAGCTGATTTGCTCTCTAAATAATTACAGTAATCAGAAATAACTCATGCAGGTAAAGTGCTTACAAATGTAAATTGAAGGCATAACATGTAATTAACTTCACGAACATTAGTTCATGAACTATTTGTTTTTAATGAGATTCCCCCACTGAACACAGGGCTGTAGATCACCCTCCTTTGTTAATTCTTCTCAGGCCATGAGCAGACAGAGGACAGGGTCCTGGAGGGATTCACCTACTGTGTCTTGCAAGAGCATTCAGACCTTTGCACAGCTTTCACATGTTGTTGCCTTAAAAATTACAATCATGACACTCTGAGGGAGCAATTCACATTTATTACTGGCCCCTGTGAGGCCAATGGCGACTTCGAAAGAGTTCAATGCCTGTGATGGGAGAAAATGTCTATGGGTTATCAATAAATAGTCCAGACTCTCTGCACTAAGGGCCTATATAGAAATGAAAAACCCATCCCCGACTCTACATGGGGTTTGCAACAACGTGATACTGCAAACATGTGGCATGACCCTCACAGCTGAGGGAAAATGGGGGGAGACAAGTACAGTCACATCTTAGAGAAAAAGCTGCTCCAGTCTGCTAAAGACAAAAAAAATCACCTTTCATCTCTTTTCAAATGACCAAAAGCCCAAGGCCAATGTTAGACAGGAGTGGCTTGAGAATAAGAATGTGAAAGTCCTTGACTGACCCAGTAAAGTGCTGACATTAATTAAGTCCATAAGTAATCACCAAGCAACTTGTGACAACTTGAACATAGCCAAAAAGACTTGTCTGCAATTACCAAAGGTACTTCTATTAGCTATTGTTTTTACTGGTCTTAATACAACATACTGTTTTTCAGTTGTTCTCTTTGGTTTTTATCTGACATTAACTGTAATATATGTTACTCATATATGTCTTCAAACTGTGCATTCAGGTTTTGAATGAAGTATTAAGTTTAAAATAATGTGTATACATTAATGGGAAACCATAAGAATGGTCTTGAAAACTTTTGCAAGGGTACTATGTAGCCAACATCACATTGATCTATATGTAAGAAGACAAATGTAATCACTACATGTTATTTTCATTGGCTTTTTACTCTTGTTTAAAAAATCTTAACACTCTCCATTCTTGCATAGCCTCAATACAAAGTGGTAGGCATCATTCAGAATCACGTAAACAGTCAGCTCTAATGATTATGCTATTGTGACCTTTTCCTGTAATTTCAGTTGTATTAGCCTTGCTTGTGTAAGGAACACACAATGAAGAAAACAAATGCAAGAAATGCCAACAGTTTTTTTTTTAGGTCTTTGGTATGTACTGTAGCTCTGAGGTGAAGAATATTTCTGCCAAGAGCCTCCATTTAATTTACCTGAAACAAAAAAAAATCAACTGTAATAAAAAAACACTTGGCCCACTGGCCTTTGAATGAGTAATTAATATCCCCCACAGTAATGCAGTTTTAATTAATTCCTTGTTTCCGATAGAATATGGAAATGTCCAAATGTCAAACAGAAACAAAAAGGCTCACAAAATTAATGCAGCAAAATATGCATATTGACGTATTGAAGTATAAAATGGGAAAACACAATGTGGTGGAATCCTGATTCTATCTGCTCTGGTACTATTATGCAGACGCTACAGTGTATAGTATCAACAATCTTAATACATAGATAATACATAAATACGTTTCATAATTGAAGAGGGCTTTTTAGGGTTACAAAAACACTGTCATAAAAGGAATTATAATCTTGTACAGTAAATATGCAGCCTTTAAAATAAGGCTTGTTTATGGTAATTCGGGAAACAATCTTTTCTGCAACTTGTTCTTTGTTTCCTAATTCTTCCAGCCAAGCAGGCAATACGTGAATAAAAATATGTAATGCGAAAGGAGCCCCCTGATGTTTTCCTTTAATATTTAAATAATTGTCTTGCTTGACTGTACATTTCTCCTGTCCTTATAGAGCACAAAATAATTGCTGATTCAAATCAGAATGGACTTCTCTGAACACATCTGGCCTTGGGTTGACTGATCACTCGTCTTCTTTTTTTTTTTTCATTTTCAGGTTTTGTTCATCTCCACTGCTCTTATGATTACCCTTTTATTTATTGAGCAGTGAGTGCACTCAGCTCAACAGGAACTCTTTAAAAGTAGATTGAACTGGGTAATCAGGCCCCTATCCCAGCAATCCATTCTGTTTATTGAGCGTTTCCAGCCAAGAAAGTCACCAGAAAAGATAAAATTCTAGTAGTATAACCTTGAAGACAATGGACAGGCTTTTCACAAATTTATTTTTTTCTTAGCAAGGAAAACCCAACACTCAATCAAAAGTAAGTCGTCTATCTGATTGTGGCACCGAAGATACTGAGTTGAATACACTTTAGAAAGTAAACAACAGAGCCTGTCGATCGAATAATCAAGTCAAATATTTCAGATTGTTTAGACCAGTCTTTCACTGGTAAACAGTTCTAAAGGCTGACAGTCCCAAATGTCAAGCAGAAGATACTCCTTTGAAACTGTTCACATCCAAGTAATTGGCACAAGTCTCTTGTATTATTTATTAGTCTCAGAACATTTTACATCAGTCCATTGACACAACCTGTATAAACAAAGAGAAAATGGCAAAGACAAAAAGCACAATTCGATATAAAACCTTTATGAAAATATTGCATAATGTAACAATTTGCCACTGCTACAAAATACAATGCATGATCTTTAAGATAATATTCCACAGGTTTTGTGTTACTTAATATCTCCTGTCATAGAAAATGGTAATACTGTACGTGCTGTTCTTGTATCTGTGAAGAAGTATATCATATTTTTCTATTACCTTATTTACAGTATATCAATTTATACATTATACAGTATATCCAAAAATTATCGACCCAAAATGAACATATTCTAATAGTGCATTGCAAGGTTTAAACTTTACATCTCTTGAGTAAGATTTCCCTTTGGATTTACCCTAGTTTATAATTTGTTATATTTAATTATTTTGTATCATTTTTTTGTTTAAAATTGTTAATAATTTATTTATTGCTTCCCTTGCATTATCACACAGTAGAACATACAGTAAAGATCCAAATCCCTCTTGTGCATAGATTCAGGGAACTCAAAATTACTTAATGCAATAAGTATATTGTTTACGCTGTGGATAACATTTTATGCAGAAAATATCAATTTCACGTGCCTGATGTCTGTCTAATCCATGATTTTTGAAAATTCTTTGGCACTGATTCTGTTTTCCATTCCCCTATTCCTACCATTCTAAGTGACGAAAGAAATAGCCTTGCGGCATTTTTATTAAGTAAAAACCTACAGTATTTGGAAAATGTTCATAGAGATGATGGGTTATTTTTAGATTTTAATAACTTGTGTTTTAGGACTATTGGTTAAGGCAAGATAAAAGTTTAATTGAATGTGTCCTTGCAACTAGAAATATGTATTTTAGAAAAAAGATACAAGGGCTTAACTGACTAAGCACTCTGTATTTGGTTTTCAATTTGTTTATTTGTTTCACCCACCAAGGTGATTACCAAGTGACTCCATAGCTCGAGATAATAGGAATGAAAGGACAGACTGCATTAAAGGTTTATAACGGCATCAAGTTGGCATAGACTTATAAATGTCACAATATTGAATTAGATAAAGGAGAGTGGGAAAACAAATCCTAAGCCACCACTGTGGTCTATATAACCCTTAGTATGAATGTGACTTGATTACTGAAAAGCAGCTTTTATCACTAAAGAAATTTAAGTTACATAATGAATGTACTGTACCTTCAAAATCTATGTATAGCTATCAATCATATGTTTTAAGAGTTCAGATAACACTGATTTATTCAACCCAACACTGAGAATAATCCCTTAGAGAGAGCCCAATACCTTTGTCTCCAATTTCAGCTTTTTTACATTCTGCTTACTGACTGATTACTGTTACGTTCTGAGTGGGCCTTTTGGAACCATCTCCTTCTGCATCTAGGCAATATTGCCATATATGGACAAAAAGAGGCTTTACAATGAAAATAACAGATTACTATATGACAAACAGGTAACGACTGATAGACCATAAATAAAACCGATAGTCGTCATTCTTTTATTGCTTAATTACACCGTCTGTTAAGTGTAACTAAACTCTGCTTAGGCAAAGCTTGGACAGTAAAGCCTTGTTCCTGGTTGGCTCTTGACATTTATTTTAGATACAAAAGACAAACAATAGTTAAAAAAGACAGCTGTGGGAAAAGCAACCTCTTCTGTTGATATAAACTACCACAAAACTCACAGTACCATACAAAATACAGTAGGGTCTTGACTCTCGACATCTGTCCGTGTTTGTTGGCAGAGAACCGTTGCAAATAGCCAGAATAACATACAGTATAACTAAGTCCACCCCTATACAGATGTATAATGTGCAATGAGGTACAGTATATAGTATGCATGGTGAATAGAAAATAAATAGCCCCCCTTATACAATAATTTAATTACTAATGTAATTAAGTACCAAACCACCAACACAGAACCGGGAACGTTCGTTACAATACAAAAATGAGACCATGCTGAGCTGCGGATGCTGGGTAGTGGGAACTTGGGCAGGGGGCAGGGAGAGGCCCACCCACCAGCTGGGTTCGTCTCAGGCTGTTGCACACTAATTTGAACACTGATCTTAAAAACCTTCAGGTCCGTTTGATCCCTCTCTGCTCTTGTTCCTTCCAAGACCCCAGTCAGCCAGACCGAACTGCAAATAAGCCTTTTTGAAATGTTAAATTCACCAAGCCCAATATTTCCTAATCTATGACAACAACTGTTGGCTTGGATTGGATTGATGACAACAAATGTCAAGTGTCACTAAAAACAAACGTTTTGTCTTATTGTTAGGGGGCCTATCTACTGTTTTCATGGGGGCGTTTGGAAGCAAAGTGGTCAAACAGACATCACTCGATGGTGTACAACATCAGGTAAAAATGCAATGTTCCATCTAATCACTGACAATTTCTTTTTTATTGGAAAATGTGTTTGATGGCTTGTGTACTGAACAGCAAACCGTTGCTCTTTCCTTACAGAACGATAAAAATACACCAGAAAGAGATAGTCATATCTGTTACATGCAGACACAATATTTACAGAGTATTTAACTGAAAACCAATAAAGCCATTTAGAAAATAAAGGATAATGTCTTCAACAGTTTCCAGTTAGGTGTTTTTACCTCAGAGTTTATGGGGTTTTTGTCCCTAAAAAGGTTTTGTAATAGCAACCATCAGAAGATTGCAAAATTCTGGAAGTGCATTGCTGCCATCAAGGGTAAAAAAAATAACGTGTTTCTCATAATTACTTACTATTAAGTAATTAACTAATTAATAGGTACATACTTGCATACTGTATGTGATAATCACATGATACACATTTGTCTTACAATACTTCTCATACAATATACTGTACATACAATGGGTCTTTCTGCAGTACTAGACATCTTCACGAACACTTAGAACATTCCAGCTGAGCTCCTGGTGCCTTGTACAGGGAGGTGCTATCACTGCACAATGTGATAGACTGTTCATACACTCAGGTGATCATTTGTATGTTGTAATTTCACAATTATTTACCATTGCTTAATAACTCTCATAATAAAGACAATTTTCTAGGAATTAAGAGATTACCAAGCAAATATGTTTTTTCCTCATGCCAGTAATGTGCTTCCATAGAAAATGGTAGGAAAAAAAAACCAGAGACAGAATAAAAGGACATGGAATAAAAGTTACATTCCATAAAGTTACTTTCAAAGGATATTTTAAATAAAAATGTGAATTGATGCTTTTTTAAATCAAACACTTTTCTAAATAACTACACAATGAATTAAACATTTATAAATTAAAAGTTCAATGGGTCATTGCCTCATTCACATGTCCTATTACAGTGCTACAGTATGTCATAGTGTTGATTATGTTGCAGAATTCCTGTTTATCTTTTAGATTTTTTTATTAAATTGACCACAAAATCAGAAGTAAAAAGCATGTGTCCAGCTGTTACATAATGAAAATTAAGACTCTGCTCAGTTTTGCTTTTAAGTTGCTTTATGACAGTAACCAGGAGCTTTAAAATGGGCTCCTGTTTAATATCATGTCCTTTAAGTGTAACCTTTAAGGTTATGATTTTGTTGCCCTGACTTTTTGTCATTTTTTTTTAATATACCAAATGTTGACCCTACGTATGCTGTGTTTACAGAAAGCGGAAGTTAAGTTGATGATAATATCAGTCACAACATTGACCTTTTAGAAAGATGGTGCTTTCAATATGTATTCCTTTTATCTAATACGTATTTTATTGAAGTCACTGAGAGCTCAGGTGGAACAGAGGCTGGAGCCCCTTGATCTGTGATGGTTCAGGTTTAAGTGCTTTAAGGAATCATGATGCAGTCAAAGAGCTACTGTACATCTACGTAAATGAAATACTGTAGCACAGGCACATTTGCCGTGGATAAAATTGATTCATAGTACAAGGACAGACAATCAGATTTAGAAGAAAATCAAACAGAATATGTGAAATAAGTGTGAATAAGGGAAACCCGGGAAAGACTTTCCTGTTTAAAGACATAAAAGGTGTGCAGTTGTTACTGTACATTTTTTTTCTTTTTGACTTAATGCTTTCAAGCAAATTGTTGTTGGCCTCCAGAGTAATCGTATCACAGGTTATTTATAGAGGTAATACCACCACCCTCGGCCCGTTTGTATTGCCTTTAACTCTCAATTATAATCCCAGTCTAAGCCCCAGCTCTGCGGCACTGGTCTTTGCGGTGTCCAGCATGAGACACACACTGATAAAGAAAAGGCAGGGAACTAGCACGAGTTGTCTTTCTGTGTCAACAACCATACTGTAGGAACATGCAAAAAATGACGCCAGGCTCACACACCTATAACTAAATCTGTCAATGTGATCAAAGTTGCACGGTCAAATCTGAATTAAAATGGTGTTCTGTTTTCTAAACTGCTTTTATGTGCTGTGCGTTGTCCTTGTGATCAAGCTCAGCACAATCTGACTGCTGTTCTGACAGTCTGTAGAAGACAGACCTAGACCGTGGTGTGAATGAGGTAGTGCGCAGGAAAGACAATACTCTTAACTTCTTATAGGAAATGACTGGATGGTATCCTCAAATCCATTAGCTGCTAGCTACCTGATGAGATAGATTACCTGATTGGCCTCCTTTTTATAAACCTTATGCGTTTTTAAAAATAAATTTTAAATGATTTAATCCTCAGTAGGTACCTTGGCTACATACAACAATATTAGCATTAAAACTTTAAATATGCAACACAGTTTGTTTTGCTTGTGGGGTAGTGTGTGTGGGGGGGGGAGGTGATTTTATTGCAGTTTGTCTGATTACCTGATAGGTTTTAAATAACTTGATAAGTTTTTAGTGCACATAACAAATTAGGGGAACAATTTACTCTGGAGATAATGCACAAAATAGTTACATTAAAAAATGTCGTTAATGTGACCATGTGGGTACTGTACTTACAGTATATATTCCATTTACAAAAATTCGATCTTTCTACTATATAAAAATGATGGCTTGTTAGAGCAAATCCTTGATCACTGCTTTCTTGCAACAGGTGTTATGTGTGATATTTTCAAAGAGGTCTAAAGCTGGTGCTATTTATCAGCAGGAAAAAAGTCTGATAATCTCTGTTGTACTGTGGGATGACGATATACCATGGTACGTGCTAAGCTATTTACTATGGTGTTAAACTATTCAACTAATGTTAGTTTGGACTATGATACTGCACCCATTTAGCCACGTACTGTCTTTATGACAGTACTGAGAGAGACCTTTATTGTGGTATGTGTGCAGAAACTGTTTTTGTAGTCCTTGTACAGTAAAAATGCAGGACTGTGCAAAAGGACTGATCATTCACACTTGATTATAACTGCCTTGAGTGTGCTCCTGTAAAAGTAAATGGTTAAATGATTTACAGGTATTTGTTTATTGAAAATTACAATAATTGTAGAATTAAATGTGTGAAATTGCTTTACCAATTCAATTAGGCGGGGTGAATTTAACCAGGACATCTGGGTTAACTCCTTTAATGATCAAATAGTCAGCATCTGTTTAATGTTTCTTGTAAGGTAAGGTACTGTAACTCCAGCTGCCTGTTACTATGCTGGAATAACTGAGGTGAGATTTTCAAATGTCTCACAGAACTGCCATGTTTTCATTTTGGTAGAGTAGGTCCTGGTGGAAGAAATGGTCTAAAATGAATTCATTTAGAAGGATTAGAGATTAGTTTTCCCTGCTCTGTCGGGCTTTAGTGAAGTAAATCCTTAGATTATGACGTCGGGGGCAACAGTGAGGAGAGCGAGGAAATTGAACTGTTGGTAGAGGGGTTATCGGTAGGATTAAACCACAATCAGTGAAGGAATGGAGACCGTAAACTATGTCCAAGCTGTGCTGAACATACACAAGCACCTAGTGCTGTCAGACCCCCTCCCTTACAGCAAAAACTCAGTTTTTTGGATTTTGGGATTTTAATTTTGATGCATTACATTGGACCTAACTTGAGTTCATTTGGAAGTTTTTTTTTTCCAGAAAACTAGTATTTGGTAAGTGACCTTTATTAAAAGTAGAATTTTCTAGTTCTCTTTGAATTATGAAGCTTGGACTGAACTGAACCAGCAGAGAGGCATTTTTTTCCTCCACTTGAAAAAAATGGGGTAATGACTCTTCCTCCAGTCTCCAGTTTGACAATTGAAGTGGCAATTTTTAAACAGAAATAGAGTATGTGTCTAAACGTTTTAATATTTTGTACAGCTCATTATCTGCACTTAAAAAACTTTTCAGTTCACCTTTTTCTATTTTAGCTGAAAATTACTCATTCAAAGTATAGAATTTCACTGTGTCTTTGGAATCATTTCATTCAATGATGCTTTCTACCATCTAGATTATATTTCCTTAATATAAAATGGACAATCAATGGTATTTATCATCATTACAATATGTTCCTCCTTCACTGTGTAGCCAACAAAGTCTATGATGATTTCCATTTCTTAAATAATTAAGCAAGATTATTTTTCATAGTCAGTAGAATTCTGAGGTTGCTGGTTCATAATATCTGTTTTAAATTATTTTTGAGATATTTTAGACTGATAATACACTATCACGCTATAATTGCTTGTAAAGTCTACATTAGTAGAAATAAGTGTGTTAATGTAATATTCTTTACAGTAGAATTCTTTGGAGCAGTTAACAGAAATGTTTAATATTATTCTGACATGCACTAAACTAAATATTTTACAATAATCTCTCCACATATAAAACTAGACATATAAATATAACTTAAATGTAAACTTCTATTATGAATGTCAAAAAGGTTAAAAAAGTCACACAATCCTTAAAAGAAATAAGCTAGTCACTTCTGACTAATTGTTTTGAATAATATATTTACATTGTATAATGCATTTCAGTATTCAATGATATAAGGATAAGGCTTCAACTCTTTTCTTTCCCATTATTCCACTGTAGATTACTTCTCCAATAGCTGATATCACAGCTGCTATCTCTGAAAAGGGAAATATTTCTACCAGCGTCTGAACTTAGAATTGTCTGCCTGACAGCTTACAAGGAGTAAAATGTGCTTTGCGGATACATTTTGTCCATATTTCGACTTCTAAAAGAACTGTGTTGATTGTTCAGAGAAAGGCAAAAGAAAATAAGATAGGTAGGAAGAACATACTCATACAGTATCGGTTTTTATTTCTGAATGTTTGCTAGAGCGATATATCAGATTGAAAGTCTAACATAAAGTCTAACATAACCTTAAAAAGTTGACACAGTTCTTTAAGACTGTATCCAAAAACACCAGGAAGATATCCAGAATATTGTTGGTATAACTATATACTGTTGGTATATACAATGCTACTGTATATCTGTGCATTTTTTGCTGTGTTTTTCCTGTGTAATTATATTTAAATTGTATGTTCCTACCAGAAGGAAGTTTAATGTTATGCAACAACACCTTAGATACACTGACTATTAATGCAGACAATCCAACATCTTAAAACATTTAAAAAAGCCTCTCATACAGTGCATTGTAATATGATTTAATGAGATATAATGTGCAGCGTACTACACACTAACTATACTGCACGTCACTTTGATGGCCCTATTAATCTTCAAAATTAACAATTGCAGGATATTGGGTATTGCAAGAGCACAAAAAAATCATTATTCCAGTTCATCTTTATAAAAACAAACAAAAAGGTGGAACTCACTATAATCACCTGGTTCCCGGTCACTTGACTTTTTACCTGTGTTACTAAACTTGTGCTACTCAAAATCTCAACCATTTGAGATTGTCCACTGGCTGAAGTGGTGAAGATTCTTTGGCCAAACAAAGGTCAAGCTTTATCATCCTGGGTTCAACCTGGGTCATATTACTAACTGACTGTGACAGAGGCTAAAGGTCTGGCACACAACCTGACACTTAATCAAGTAACTTCAAAATAATTTTTCAGCATTTCAAAGAACAGTTATTCTTCGACATGTAGTGTGCATCTGACAACTACACTTGACATATACTCTGTATATATATTACAGTTTTTGTTTTCATATATCTATGTCTTGCATTTTGTTGCAAAGGAACAAGTAAAGGTTTATTCCATGCTGAAAAGAGAAGAAAAGTGTTACGATGCATAGTTCAGGACCCTATGCAGACGGTATTATCCGGAAGTGGAAAAGGACAACGGGGAGGAGATGACGAGGATCAGGGCAGGTTGACGAACAGGGGGGCGTGACGACAGTGAACTGGTGCTTGGAGGGCGTGGCCATGGCAAACAAGTCCAAGGGAGTCCAAGGGGAAATCCGGGGCGAAGTCCAAGGTCCAAATCCGGTAGATACATCCGCAACATAAACTAGACACAGTTAAAAAAACGGATCCGGTACAGGGACAGGGAAATAAAAACAGGATGACGAGGCCAGGTGCTCTGAGCCCCAGACTCAGCAGGGTCAGGATGCCAATAGGAGGCCTATGACCTCAAGCCGCGGGAGTAGGGCGACTTGGTGGTAGGCGGGCCTCCAGGCATCCATCTTCCAATGCAGAGCCGGGAGTAGCGAGAATGCCCG